ATATATAAAATCTAAATGTGCTTATCAAGATTGGCAGCGTATTAAGTTGGTGTGTTGCTCTGGCTGCCTGTGTGTTGGGTAGATGAGCTGTGATGATGATAGCGATGATGCAAGTTGGTCGTCATCGGCACGGCGATGCCATGAGTATATATACATGAAGCATCCATCTTGCTGCATTTCATGATCTGATCGGTTGCAAGCCACTGTGTGTGCCTTCGAGCTGCAAGGTAGATACGATGTTCCAAAGCGCGAAGAGATTGGTCATGATGCTCCCCTTGTCGAAATCGGTATGTAATCCAAGTGGAGTACCTCAGCTGGCATTGGGACCGGGCGGCGTGGAGCAGACACACACGCGAGCGCTGCATGCGTCCAAAGAGACAATACATAGGGCTGAAGCGTCAGTGGCAACCTATTGATTGCCGGTGTGAGGATCTGGAGAGAGTCGAGGCGTTTGCCAAGATCCCCGCGAGGTTCCAATCTGCAACAAGCGGGGCCAGATCTTACCAAGACTCTGACCAAGCTGGCGACTGGCTTGCTGCGAAAGAATCCCTCTCGGCGCTTCGCGTCTAGGCCGTGGGGGCCACTTATCAATCTTGAATCCTACAGAGTAGCACAACACCAAACATTTGTACAGACGAGGAGCGTTCAGTCAGCGCGCATGCTTCGAACTCGCCCTAGAGGATATTTCGATCGATGTGGCGATGGATACAGCCCACCATCTGGAATCTGATCTCGCCCTTTCGCTGTCGGCCGAATTGGCCATTGCCAATACCTTTGACAAGTGCTAGCTAGGTATCCAATCATCAGCAGACTCCTCCTTCATGTGCAGCAATTGCACGATGTCCCGTCGACAGAAGCCCGCCAATCCAGCTCCTTCCTAAATCAAGCCCGTGATCCCAACTGATAAATGAATAATCCTATTGCCTCATCTTGTTCGCCACGCCTCAGGCTTCAAGGACTCCAGCTGCAAACGCCTTGCTATCAGAGACGAATCCATAATACACCTATGTCAAAAGTCAATCAGCGACGTACGTCTTCGCTACCGCATTTCGGATTGGTAAGCGCAACATCGAAAGGACTATCTCTCAAAGTAGGCAAAGAGTGGCGAGCCACTGGCACACTCACCGCAACATTGTACAGTGTCGTACTATGACCATTCGGTGTCGTCGTGCCACAGCAATCGTCCAGCAAGATACAGTCCCAGCCAGCGTTATACGCATCGAAAAGAGTTCCTTGCACACACTCATCCGTATTAACTCCAGAAAACAGTAATGTAGTCTTCCCGCTCTTCTCCAGATGCTGCCAGAGTGGCTGCGTTGACGTCCACATTCCCGAAATGCGATTCTTGGCGCAGTGCACGTCTACAGGCTCGGCGACAGCAACGAGTCGGGGAATAATCTCTGCATTCCAGGATCCAGCTGTTAGAAGCCGACCCATACCCTCACCGAGGTCTTCGCCTAACCCTGCACCAAGCGGATTCGCAGTCTGGGCAATGCGTGAGGCTGCAAAGCCGCGCAGCACACTTGCTGGCATATTCGCGAGGTCTTCTTCTGTCAGGCCCCAATTCAACCAGATGACCTGATAGGTGCGCGTTAACAGCAGAGTTGCATCTCTCAACTTTGAACATAATGCTAAGGCGGCGACTTGAGATCGTTTAAAGGACACAATGAGGACAAAGCAACGAGAAGTAATCTTGCCTCGATTCCCAGAGCGCGACATCGCGTAATAACGCCTATCAATGGCTCAATAGCTGCGACTCCTGTGGGATTATCATAACACTTCGGGTCGAGAAAGATATTCTGCATATCGACGACTATTAGCGCCGTATGTGCCGGATCAATATCGACGCTCGTGTCCGCCGCTCCATGAGTTGTAGACAGACGGAACTTCCAAGTATTTGCTCCTGCATCGCCAGCACGTGTCAGATCAAACGTCCGCGAGGCCCATGTGTAAAGCGTTCCCCGCCCCGGGGGCCCGAACGTTAGATCCGGCGCCATAGGTACAGCTACCGTAAGTAGCAAGTTTAAGCTGGTTGGCTTTTGCGTAGTTTAGACAAACGCTTTCGCCTTCAAAGATCAAATAAGCTCACGATTCAATAATCCCATGCCACAAGCTTGGAACGATACATGAAACATAGCCGCTCACTATTATGCCCGCAAAGGCGCGCCCCTCTCATCAGACAGACTGGAGAGGAGTTGAAGATGCGTACCCCACCTCCAATATCAACTTGGCATGCCGAATGTCAATCCGACCTCCAATACGCTGCTGCCCGCTTATCGCCAGAGCAGATCGCCGTATCAGGAAATAGCTTCGGCCGTTTGGAGTACAGTGCTGGCTGACAGTACGTCTTGCACATTCTCATCTTTTACGGAAACATGAGCAACCCATGTCGTGGCATCGACCAATTTACATCATATGCATCATATGAAGATTGCCCAACTCGACGGTGAGTTCATCTTCCATAACCCATCCGGATTCCGAGGAACTCATCCATCTCATATCTTCAAAGTCAAGGCTACTGGACAGCAACGAAGAGAAGAAAAGATCAAAAACCGAACGCAATCTATTCTTCTAGATACGATTAACTTATTCTAAAAGCACCAGACTGTCATCGTCTAAGTCCCTAAACGTAACAGGCGACTTCGCGACTGGAATAAGCGTGATGCCCTGTCGCTTTTGCTTGAAATGCGCTGGGACAGTTCTAAGCAACTCACCAAAGGTGCCAGGCGTGGCATCTTTTCCGAGATTCTCCGGCATGTTCCACAGGGTCGAGGCGGAAACCCAACCTACCATGCCCTTAATGGTCCCAATCTTGAGCATAGACGCGGTGGTAAGTTGTGTCCAAAGCATTTGCTCGGCATCTTTATACGCCTGCGAGTCCTTATCGCCATCAACCGGGGTGGCAAGTAAATCAACCATCCCTTGACCGGCCATGGATGGGTTAAATTCCATCGTATCGGTGACCATGGGCCGTACGCCCTCCCTCAGGAAGTCAAACCAGGCGATATTGTTGGCCGCATAGTCTGCGCAAGAGAATCCCGTCTTGTCTTTCTCGATCATCACCAGCCGCTCCCAGCAGACCATTTGCGCCCCATATTCAATCACTTTCTCTGGCGGCGCCGTGAACTTCAACTTCAAGGCGCCCTGGAACTTGGTAAGGAAATAGGGCGCAATGGGAGTCAATAAGGGGTGGTGATATAGGCCGTCGGCATTGTCCCTGCCTTCCCAGATTTCGATGAATACATTGTGCCTTTGTGATCTACTGTTAGCTACCTTTATTTCTTATTCGGAATGCCCGGGCGCATTTAGACAGAGTGGTAAAGGGATAGGGGAGCTCACCACCGCTCAAGAAAAGGGTCGCCTTTTCGCCCGGCAATGAAGCTGTTAAGCAAGAGGCCAAACTGCCACGGTACGGCGACCTGATAGGGGGACGCAGGATCACTGAGCATATTCCAGCACAGGTCATCCATGTGTCGCGCCAGGAAGGTACTGCAGTCCATCCACACACCGCCATACTTGAAGACACAAGCGCCTCTGAGCATATCCGCGGTATGGGGCCCAGAATGCTCACCGTTGAGCGAGCGATCGTAGAACCTGTCAGGTAGCTTCGGGGTCGAGCCCTGGGGAATGTATTTCACCGCATAATTCGGGGAATCCGGGTCGTCGTCGAGGACCCGTACCGTCCACTCGGGACCGCAGATGCGGACCCATGAGACGATGTTCCGCTGGCACCAGGCCGGCATGTTCTTGAACCCGCTGTCCCAGAATGCCCAGATGTTCTTCTCGCTCTCGCTCGGGGGTGTGTACTCGAGGAGAGATTGGAAGATCTCCTCATCGGTTCTTTTTTCATGGGTTTCGACGGGTTCTAGGGCGTCCTGGAATGCGGGAGGGACCTTGATTGCCATGATGGGCTTGCCGGTCAATACTGGAATTCAGGGAATAAGGATATCGAGAGGCGAAAACTGTTTGATACTTTATGAGAGAGCACTGAGAGTTTGGTAACTAGATGGCGTTCTTATATGTGCTGAATGTTGATCTATATCTCCAAGGGTTAGGAATATACGGTATACCCCTGCCTACCCGCGCGGGTCGCCCGCCCTTGCAGATATACATATGAGTTAGGAGATAACGTGCTTGCATGCATCCTCAGGGTATGGTAGCGATGAACCATGAATACCACTCTGTACCATAGACTCCGTGGATCCTGGTAGACGCCGCCGTGGATGCTGACAAATGCCACCTGAGTTTCATCGATCTGGTCATATTGTTGATTGAAAAGCGGCGCGGCTCTGTTGTAAAGCTTGACGATGCTACTGTCGCTTGGTCCTACGCTTTGTTCAACATTGAGAAGCAAGCTCTCAATTCAACGCTTTGTTTCATGGCGTTGGAAACTATAATAGGAACATTAAGAAGCAGGCTCGGCCGGTGACCAACGAGCCGGCTCATCAATAGGCCGAATAGACTGCTCCGTGCCGACGAGGTGGCGGACGATCGGTCCTTACTCTCCTCCGATGCGGATCTGGTATCTTTGAATGGCCACGATCATCGCCTTTGGTCGAGCGTATCCCCTTGAATGCTGTGTCAGGGGATAGATAACGTCGTCCTAATTCATGGTAATCTAAGCTGGGGCGACGATCCAGCCAGTCGACGGTTGATGGCACCGAACTCTAAATCCGATAAAAATCAATTAGCAAGAACACATAGTGAGAAGTCAGATGAAACAGACCTTTGAAGCGCCTTTTCTAAACAATCTAACAGTCGGTGATGCACGAGGATAAATAGCGGTAGTCAGCAGCCACCTGCCACAGCTGGCTAGAGCTGAGTACTTCCCAATTGCGACGCTGGAATCTAAAATTTGGCCGATCCACAACAACCGCGTTTGTTTTCCTAAAGTCTGCGACGCGTTGCTTTTAGCCTAGTTCGCTAAGCGCAGTGAGTGAGTGGTATTAAAGATGGTAATAATACTATAATACATGTCCTTAGGAAAGGGACCAAAAAGTTACCCGATACGAGATTCGAACTCGTGACCTCCGCATTTCTGTATCTCAGAATGCTTTAAAGAAAGCAATTCCGCATAAGTACGATGCCTTAAACCACTGGGCTAATCGGGCTTGTGATTTTCGGGGTCCTGATTTTCTATATATAGCAGAAGTTGGAGCTGACGCGGCCAAACTAAGCAAATTTGTGAATCAGACTGGGAGATACGGAAAAACAGTGCGAATAACGAATACAGTATGGATTACTGTGAAGGGTTGCGTTATCGATCTAACTACCCAAACCACCAGGGAGTATCTGACCCTGTAAGAACCCGGCCGCTATCCCCCCGCTGGCAAGTTTTTGCGGCCCCTGTAGGGATCCATGGCAGGGAGATCCTGAGTTCCGTGTGCCGATTCGGCAGTGCTTTCCCAGCCGCATGGCTGGAGCATGACTGGCAAAGTGAAGGTCTTCTGTCCCCTTTTCTGACTACGTTGCGGCGTTTAAAGACTACGAGAAATCCTTCATGCGCATTCCAAAGATGGTCTTTGCTCTTAGGACCATCGGTCTCGGCTCATGCACCTTTGACCTACGCAACGTTCAACAGGTCGATGTTTCGCGCATTGGCTTCGATGAAATGTAAGACCGCTTAGCCACCGTATTGGGACCTGCGTTGGTGCCATCCTCTGAATATGAATTCGGTGGATGCAATGATATTGAATCACATGGCAATTGCTTGGCTAGTCATAAAGTGGTTGTTTAATCAATCTCACGTCAATTGCTGTCGTGGAAATGTTGCTTCGTCGGCGATCTCTCTACTTTGTGGTCCTCACGGTTACAACGGCAAAAGCTGGGACAGTGATAGCGCCCTGATTGGCCACATCAGTGTTAATTATCCCTTTAATTGCGTATTCAACTACAGTACGGCCAAGACTTTAGCCTGGCAAGGGTTCGACCAATCAGACTTTAAGCTTTTTATATGTACTGCTTTACTGCTGAATATCGCCTATATAATACGTCGAAATTAATTAGAAAAAATTTGTTTAATATAAAAGCTATCAAGCTATACACTCATTAATTTTTATTTATTATTTATAGGTTGTCGTCGAGTTTAATCGTTTTAAACCATCGCTGTATTATTTATTAAATACATTTAAAGGTATGGTCCGGGGGTAGTGGAGACGTCAGGGGTTGAACTTGTACCTGTAGTTGAAATCGCAATTAAAGGGATAGCAGACCCGACCGCTAGGGATGCGCCAAGGACTCGCTCCCTTGGCTATTCAGTGTTGTTTTTCTCACCTTCGACTTTCAAGCTCGACTGATATTTCTCATCGATCCTTTTCGCGAACGTTCATTATCTTTCCTTGAGTATGCGCTGTCAAATAACCAGGAATTCGCAATGAGCTAGATACCGGTAGATTGGTGTATGGCCAAAATCACTGTCGCTACCGTCATGGGAGGCAGGCCAGGGTGGCTCTCCCGCCACAAAGCTGTGAGTTTCGTACAGCATTCTCTTGGGTGAAGGATACTCAAACCCGTGTTGTCGCAGAATCAGCTTCTATTTCTCAGAAGAGGGCGCATAAGGCCCGCTCAGAATGTGTGGGTCCTACAAACACAACCCGAAAACAAGCTCTCGAAGCACCACGATCGACGACATGGAAGGAATGAAGAGGATGACGAATCTCACACGAGCTGGAGAAAGACGACCTTCACGAAATTTGTAGAGGGAAGCGCAACGGCCTTCGGCTCCATCCTGATCTTGGCACTGGCTGGGTGGTCATACGACAAGTACTACAAGGCCCATGTACTGCGCAAGATGGCTAATGCCTTTACTGAAGGATACTCAAGTTTGGAGCTCGCTGCACTCAGCCGTCATGTAGACCTTCATGACTCGCACCCAAATCTATCCAGTGCAGGTCTCGACGAAAACGACTGGATCCCCCGGGAAGAACAACAAATAATTGATTCTATTGTGGATGGAACCAATAAAGGCCAGTACCACCTCATCACGGGCGAGAAGGGCACGGGCAAGACCTCTATGCTGCTGAAAGCGCTGAGCAAAGTAGGTGGCGATAGGGTAGCCATGTTCGAGGCCCACGGAGATCCCGAGATATTTCGTCAGCGCCTTGGCAAAGCGCTCGATTTCGAGTTCCATGAGGACTACATCGGTGGGCTGTTTAGCTACAGGGGTCCACGCGACACCACGGCGCTGCTGGACATCGAGCGTGCCTTCAACAAGATGGAGAAGGTCGCTATACAGCGCAAGCAGCAGGATGGGCGACCGCTGATTCTTATCGTCACCAGTGTACACCTCGTACGCGACGACGAAGACGGACAGGACCTTCTCGAGCTTATTCAGCAGCGGGCCGAGCTCTGGGCGGCCAGTAACCTCGTAACGGTGGTATTCTGCAGCGACGATTATTGGACGATAGAGCGCCTCATGTGGCAGGCGACGAGACTCCGCATCACCCCCGTTCGTGATATAGCCAGGCCTGTAGCCATCGAGTCGTTGAAGAGATTCCGTGCTAGGATGTTCAACGAAGACGTATCGGACGATATCTTGTCGCAAGTCTACGAAAAGGTGGGAGGACGGCTTAACTTCCTCAGCCGTGTGGCCAAGTCAGATGACATGATCAAAACCTGTAATGTCATCTGTGAGCGGGAAAAGCGATGGCTCTTGAACAAGTACTGGATTCTAGGAGATGACTTAGACCCCGGAGGCGAAGAGCAACAGGATCTCTCCTCGGCTGCTATGTTGCTCGCTAAAGCTCTTGTGGATAAAGAAGCGGCGATGAGGACGGACGGCACGTACGATGGGAGGTTGCCGCAGATACCGCTACACATTGCGCGACAGATCATGACGAACGCAAGCTGGATCAAGAGCCACGATCACCATAATATCTTCACCATTAACTCGGACGGGATGGTGCAGGCCGACTCCGTGGCGATGCAGAACGCCATGCGGGAGGTCTGCTCTCAGGAGGGCTTTGATAAACTGCTGCGTGCGACTTTAGACCGCCTTGATGAGATCGAGAGTTTGGGGAGGACGAGGGAGATCGTGCTCAAGGACTTGACGGAGGATGGGGAGTATCTGGCCAGTATTGGAAAGGGTGACGGTAGGAAGAGCGATGCAGTCATCTCTATCAAAGTCGCTCCTCGGTCTGCGGGGTGATTCTGCGAGGGGAGCACAGATACTCTCTGCGGTCTGCTGCACTAGACTTTTAGGGGTAAAGTGTCAGACTTGACAGATTGGTGATCAATACAGACTGCTACATACTCTGCTACTCTCGCGGCGATAAACTCTTTTCAAACGGAAGTAATCCGGGATGCCTTTCGATATCTTTCCAGCCAGGTCAAGCGAGTTGTCTAACCTCTGCTTCGGTTTTGCCTTTTCAACGGAACTCGATCTCGAATGTCTGTCTGAAAACAAGGCTGTCTTACTCGCTCAACTTCTAGTGCCTTGGAAATAAAGATTTCGGACATAGAGAGCCATTGGACTCCATACAAACGGGTTGAAGTCTACATGATTTGCATTGCCATAGGCTAGTGGTATCAGAGGGATTCATCTGCCAAGCCTTCGACATACTCTTCCAGGGCCTGTTCCGCTGGTTCGTAGAAGCAAACTTCTGTCGCCCCATGACGGTATGCCCTATTTTTGGAATGGAATGGACAAGCAGCCAACAGGCGTACGCTCAAAGGACCATGGCATCCTCGTTAGGCCAAGTTTGCATAAGCCTTCAGTGTCACGAGAGCCAACTTCTTCATTTCTTGGAAAAGGCCCCTTGCTTGTGCGCAACACACCCTGGCGGATGTTACAACGATCAGATCTAGATCGTGAGGCGTATGTGTACAACATCGCCAAGAATGAGCTCTACAAAGAACCAGAATGCCGTAGAATATCTGGTTTTGCAGAAGTATACAGCTTTGACGACGCATAGTTTGGATCAACGGATGGAATTCGGTTGGCTCGGCCTGTGTACTCACATGTCCTCCTCATTCCATCGACAGTTTCTTTATGATCGCCAACCCCAGTGCCTTGGCATGTGCATTCCTCAAATGAGATTCTTCAACTTCTCTTGCCTGCTGCCGCACCACGACGGCTAGTTGCGGCCCAGCATGTTTGACACTTCTCCTGTGGATGATTTCAGAGCTCAAAGGTAGGTTTCACGTCAATCAATAGACCAATAGCCTTATCTTCCTGAGAAATTCAACGCGGCAATGCTGGGAATGCTGACCTGCCTTCTGAAAACGGATTGAGATCACGAAATATGGGAACCTGGAATTCGAACGATCCCAATCCGGTCATGCTACCTGCTTCAAAGATGTGAGGTAGTAACTCGATCTTGAGGAATACTTTGGTGATGGGCAGAAATACCCTTATGGCAACGTTCAAGCCTCCGCAGTAGACAAGAGACATCGATATTGAAATGTACAACACTACGCCCGCTGCGCATTCCACGAAGTAGCAGTTAGAGTGACCGATCCTCACAACAAAGAAAATGGCAGAATGCCCATCATGATGCCTTCTAACTTCCCGGGCAATAAGTAGGTATAAGAAGCTATGATGCAAGCTGCTCAATCTGGCCTTCTATCACCATGTCAAATCACAATCTCGGCGTAGAGCCCTTGCGCGCCTGAACAACCGACGACAGCTATCTGCATTCTCCGCGAACTAAGAACACGAGATAGTTTTTCCAATGTGCAAATACAGAGTGTTATCGCAGAAAACCTGCATACACTGCTTCAACGGCGTGTACGACAGCGATGTGCGATGTGTTTTAGAGTGCAGGGGTAAGAGTCATCCCCTTCTACGCAACATGTTAATACAAACTTACAGTATCCCTTTCAGCCGGGAAGGGAAACTGGCAAAACTGCACAAAGAGGAAACCGAGTAAGTCCATTCTACTTAGCTCTTCAAAGTACAACTGGAGTGGACGACATTTCTTATTGCCTTGACGACGAAGCAAAAATGCTAACGAAATGGAAAAGCCGGAAAAATTCCCACCCCGGTGGCCTCAGGGTATTGCATGAATACCGCCGAATGCATAAATGCCGCGAACGTTGCGGCTGCTGCTGCTGCTGCTGAGGAACGGCAGCGACAGTACGACGAGCAAGCTAGACAGAATCGCTGGAATAG